AGCGTGTCGCCGGGGCCACCGCGGCGACAGGCGAAGCAGAAGTTCCCGACCGTAGCGGCTGGCACCAACACCAACCATGTGACCTAACAGTGAGCCAGAGATGGGCACGCCCGAAGGAACCCAGACACTTTGTGGGCCCTGGAAACGGCGGGGCCGTTTTTTCACCGTTTTCCCAAAAATGTCCCTTACAAATGGAAACGGCAAAAAAACGGCGACCGGAAACGGCAAAAAAACGGCTCCAGGATTGGAACGGGAGCCGGAACCGGTCAAACAACGGCGACGGAACCAGTAAAAAAACGGCGTCGGAACTGGCAAAAAATCGGCAAAACGGAACCGGAAAAAACGGCCCTGTCGTTTCCAGGGCCCACTAAGCCCAGGCATCGTCCGGTGGCAAGCCATGGGTGCCTTGTATGCCCTCGTGATTCCGTCTTTAGAGTGCCTCTGCTTCGGTCAGCGCTTGGTAGTCGGTGGGATGGCGCCGATTTAGCGTCGATGGGCGTCGACTTGCGTCGATTGGCGTCGACTCAGCGCGACTAGCGTCGATTGGCGTCGATTTGCAAGATGGTGTGGGAGGCTCCCCTGCGTTGCCCTCAGAAGGTCGTGAGGCTGGAGGACCGGCTGGCCTCCTCCATGGAGGCCAGGAGCGCTGCGGTGGAGGGCAAGCAGGCCGCCACCGAATGTCGGAGCAGAAAGAGCGGCACAAGCACAGACTCTCGGAGGTCAGCGCGGACTTCCTCGGATCGGCGCAGGGGCTGCGCCGGAGACGCCGCCAGCGGGCCCCAGCGCCGATCCGAGAAGTCCGCGCGGACCTCCAACAGTTCGTGTGCTGTGCCGTCTGTTCTTCTTCCAAGATGGGAGCTCTCTCGACTGGCAGCGGCCTCGCAGGGCATGCAGGCGGAGATGGAGAGGCAGGTCAGGGCGGCGGGCGAGGACCGGCTGCGGCTCCAGCTCCTAGTGAACGACGCCGTGCAGCGTGAGGCGCGGGACCTGCGGCACGAGCTGGCGGGGACGCTGGACAGCATGTGCAGGAATCCGCAGAAGAGAAACGGCAAAGACATCGACCGTCGACGCTCCGCACGGATTCCTCCCTCAGAGGAGGGGAGGGTGCCGATGCCGCCGCCCTTCTCTCGCTGCCCTGGCTGGATTCGCCTCGATATCCTGGTCAGAACGCGCCCCAGGAGAGCGGCATGGGTATCATTCGTTCCCTCATTCCCTCCTCTCTAAGAAAAGAACGACATACGCGTAATCCAGACCTGTCCTGCGGCGCTGAAAACGATCCAGGCGAATCAGCGGTGCTCAGCGCGAATGGGCACGCTCGATGTCTGCCTTCTAGAGGGCGGGTGCCCGCCCCGCAACTTCCTGGAAGATGCGAGCTGCCTCGAAGAGCGCGTCCACGGCATCGTGGTGGAGCCGCTCCTGAGGACGCGTCGCCTCGTTAATCCTTGCCTTGGTCATATCGTCGACCAACCAGAGTTTCGAGGACCCGTCTTCACGCAGCTGCTCAACCGCAAACCTCGGAACGATGGCGGCCCCGTCCAAATAATTGTTTTTGTTGTGGTTGTTGCAATCTTGGTTGTTGTTGTTGTTGTTGTGCCCATTTTCTTGTACGATGCCATCATGCCTGGGCTCCTCGTGGTAGCACCATGGTCGCATGCCGTTTACTCCCCCTCCGAGGAAGCTCACGCCCTCCTCGCAGGAGCTCGGCCGGCTGCGCGAGGCCGCGCGGAGCCACGGCGAGCAGCTGGCCGCGCTGCTGCAGCGCGCGGAGCGCGGCGAGGGCGACCGGTGGAAGAAGCACGCTGACCAACAAAAACACCCGAGGCGGACGAGGAGGAGGAGCAGGAGGAGGAGGAGGAGGAGGAGGAGGAGGAGCAGGAGGAGGAGGAGGAGCAGGGGAGGAGGAGGAGGAGGATGAGGAGGAGGAGGAGGGGAGGAGGTAGGAGGGGGAGGAGGAGGAGGAGAGGAGGAGGAGGGAAATGGAGGAGGATGAGGAGGAAATGGAGAGGAGGAGGAGGGGGCAGGGGGAGGAGGAGGAAGGAGGAGAAGGAGGAGAGGAGCGAAAGGAGGAGGAGGGAGGCGAGGGAGGAGGAGGAGGAGGAGCGTAGCAGTAGCTAGTTAGTAGCTCAGTAGCAGTAGCAGTAGCAGTAGCAGTAGCAGTGAGCAGTAGCAGTAGTAGTAGTAGCAGTAGCAGTAGCAGTAGCAGTAGCAGTAGCAGTAGCAGTAGCAGTAGCAGTAGCAGTAGCAGTAGCAGTGGCAGTAGCAGTAGCAGTAGCAGTAGCAGTAGCAGTAGCAGTAGCAGTAGCAGTAGCAGTAGCCGTAGCAGTAGCAGTAGCAGTAGCAGTAGCAGTAGCAGTAGCAGTAGCAGTAGCAGTAGCAGTAGCAGTAGCAGTAGCAGTAGCAGTAGCAGTAGCAGTAGCAGGAGCAGTAGCAGTAGCAGTAGCAGTAGCAGTAGCAGTAGCAGTAGCAGTAGCAGTAGCATTAGCAGTAGCAGTAGCAGTAG